TGAGGCCTCTTTGCTCAGGTGCTATGGTACTGCGTGGTTTATTTCAGTGTTGTATTGTTTGAGTAAAAAGTATTGCAAAGTTAGCTTTTGGTCAAGCTAAAGTTACTTTTTGTTCTTTGTTAATTTTACTCAACTTTTTCAAGTTTACTTAATTCCACGTGAAATTTCCTTTAAAAAATCAGTGCGCAAAAACTTGCGAAAGAAAAATTAAGTACATTTTACTCAAGTTTTTTTATTTATTTTATTTTTTTGTGTGTATGGCGCGATTGACTCAAGTATTCAGAATCAAGTATTCCACAGAGCCGTGTAATAATAATTTATTTTCCACAGAAGAAAGAAAGTCATTGAGGTTTGCTATCATGATGGTCATCTCTTCACTAAATTAGCAACGAATCAACTAATTATCAAATATCTAAAAAAAAAAAAAAAAAAAAAAAAAAAAGAATCACACTGAAGGCAATTCTAAAACAAGCTAGTGACTAAGAGGAACTAAACTTCATTTCAAATTGCCATCTTCTCCAGGGTGCAAATTGGATCCGTCTGTTCTGTAGGGTGTAAGTGCAGCAAATAACACCTGTCTGAGTATCACATGAACAGTAGTTTGGGGGCCCCGTTACTGTTTAATGGAATTTTTTGGTGTGTATAATTTGCTGCTCTCATGGGAGAAAAAAATGCAAGATTCATATCTCCAACAGATCTTATCTAAATTACTGACTGTTCTGCATTCACCCTGTAACATATCCTTCAAAAGAGCTAGAGTGTGAACAGGATGAGGAGACGAAAAGAACAGTGAAAGGAAAAAAGGGAGGAAAGGATATCACAATCAGACATGGTAGCTTTTATGGACCATATTTACAGTCAGTAGAGGTTTAAGTTACGATATGTTCTGACCTGCACTTTGAAGAATGTGCTGTCTGGAACAAAATACATAAAACAGATGAAAGCATAAAAAAACAAATAGTCCTCCAGACTTCAATAATAATGTGCACAGCTAAAAAATAATAATAATAATAATAATAATATTGCTTAACAATATCTAACTTTATATAACACTTTAAGAGTTGGGGAAAACTGTAGGAATGCATTTTTCACCATTTTTGCTCAAGAAACATTTATTATCATTACTAAAGTTGAAAATTACAGCTTAATATTTTTGTGGAAACATGATACTTTTTTTCAAGGTTCTTTGATAAATAGAATGTTCTAAAGAACAGCATTTGTGAAATATTTTGTTACCATGTACCACTTCTTTTATGATGTCACTTTTGATCAGTGTAATGCATCCTTGCTGAATAAAAGTATTGATTTCCTTAGGAAAAAAAAAAAGACAAAAATTTTCATAGTGTATAATACTAGAAACTCCTTTAATTTTCAGACAGTATGAAAGCATGGCATGAGCCTGCTTTTGCAGTTCCACAGCTGCTTTACTTACACTTGTGTGTGTGGCCTGAAGCTGGCCTTACATTCTGTATTCTGGTGCCACAGACAGGGGTCAGTTTGCAAATATCAGTGTCCATCATGTGCAGTGAAGAAGTTGACCTTAAAAGTTTGGTCCTGGTAATTAGACAGCTGGACCTCTCATTAACTTGTCTGTCGCAGCATGCAAAAACAAATATAGACAGAACTAAACATATTAGATAATTACACTGGCGGTGACCTGCCTCTAGACTAAGTTAGAAAATGGGGATGGGAAAGGTATTGTTCATTCTTTACATTCTCCAAATCCATTAACTTAAACTGAATTACCATAAATAAGGTCAAGTGCAATCCCATTAACACTGCACCAGCGAAAAAGGGTCTAAAACTCTCTGTTAAAGAAGTTTTTAATGGCTGCTATTTTCAATTTTACTAAAATGTGGTGTTGATTACACCAAACACCTTCACGAATACACCTTTTACAAATACAGTCACATACAGTGTGGTTGCTGTGATTTTGCCAAGTAAGACATAGTCCTGCCTGTATGTCCCTACCCCTAAACCTAACCCTACCCATAATTTATCCCTAAACTTGGAGAAAAATGATAGGTGAATGAGAATGTGTAGAAGCCCCTAACCCTACACTTGACATTTACTAAAATAAATCTATTCCTCAAATCTGATTGGTTGATTGAAAATGTTGTTCCAGTATCAACAACGATGTTGATCCGGGAACATTTTCTACTTGGTGAATTCACGTTAACCCAAACTGTGTAGTCCAAAAGTCTACGTACTACTGACAATATTTTATTTTATAATCAAAACCTAGAAATTTAAACTACTTCATATCCATTCAACTTCATAACGTTTCCTTCAGACATTTGTACTTTGTACGCTAAAGCTTCCTCTAAATGTTTGCGACCAAACAAGGACCACAGTACAAGGTGAAGAGTTGCCTTTATCAAGGAGTCATGCATAGCCTACACTGCATAGAGCAAATGATTAACAGAGTAGTTTTTTGAGCCGATCAAATATACCCCCTTTGACATCACTCATCAATTTCAAGCTGAAGAGCAGATGCTTAAATTGCAACAGTTTGAACAACAGTGAAACAAGAGATCTAAACACACACTCCCCCTCCAATGTGTGCGTGTATCACCTGACACTTCAGACAAACTTTCTCAAGTGCAGTTTGGCCCTCTGTGTAGTCCTGACTGGAAACAGCCCGAGTTGCTTTTGATTTGGAGACAGACAGTGGCTGGAGGGTGTCTGAGAGACACTGTGACTTTAAGCAATTAACTTTCCCTTTAAAGCCGCTCTTATAAAACTGACAGCTGCAGACATTCACAAAGGACCAATCACCTCTTCAGAAACACAAAACTGTGCTGCCGTAAACCAAACTGGTTGTCTTTTATTGGGGTGGTCCGGCATCCCGTATACACCCCCCTCACTACCACAGACGGGCCTTCTACAATGGGACCCTCTATTTCTTATTAACGCTCATGGACTTGGGACGCTCCAGGGAAAGGTTGTGGCCCCCAGAGACCAATATAGAGCAAACTCTAAAAATGCCAATAAAGTTGGGCACATTCAGCCGCAAAACTTGCTGTTTACACTGGAATTCCAACATGCAGGAAGAAAATATAAATAGGTGGCTTGGAAAATGAATATTGTTGCAAAACTGTTTCAGTGCAGGTTTACACAACAAGCTCTGTACCATCACATGTGTCATGAGTGATTACATTCTAAATCTCAATGACTATTGCCAAACCATGATTTACCAACCAAGCACACGTTTTCTCATTTGAGAGACAAGCAGAGGCTGATGACGTGGTTTAAGAGAAGCTCAGGTTAGAACAGAATATGATCACGGCACATAATTACCAAGCGAACCAAAGAAAAAATAAAGAACTCGATAATTCCGACAGATCTAATAGAGTCTTTGAATCTCAGCGGCCTCAGAGCTCGGTGTAGCGGCCTTTGAAGTGGTTGAGATAACGAATGAAGTGTTCTGACATCGATTTGTTAAGCTTTTGTGGCAGGCCGTTTTAACATTTATTCATTTAAACAGGCTTTTATATTACTAATTCTTCTTTTGTAATTACTAGTCGTCATTAATCAAATAGTGCTTTATCCAATAGTAGGTTACTCTTTATCTTAAGGTGCCCTTGTCAAAGTGCAATTATGCAAATAAGTACTAATATTAATGTACTTATTATAAATTATGCGTTAGAAATTGTTTTAGGGTTAGCTGCTTCTAATTATGCGTAATTTACTGTTAATAATACTATAGTAACATGTGTAACACTTTAAAATAAAGTGTTACCCAATGATACTCCTTTTCTACTCACCACACAGTAACAATTCTATAGCCATTTTGTCACTGAACTGTAATGGGAACTGTGGTTCAGATATCAACTCACTTCTGACTTGTAGTCCCATTATAGAACTTTAATACTCTTTATTAGAAAATAGAACTTATTCGTGAGATTTAATGGGATTTATATACCATTAGCTCAACATTTGTTATCTCACTGGTTACTTTTTTACTTCTTATTGTGACGACTAGTCAGAAATGCTACTTTACAGTCAAGGGGGTTTAGTCAGACTGAAATATATGGTAACGCTTCCTTTTACAGTCCAGTTACCCATGTAAATACTATGTACTTATTTTAGTAACTACAATTACTGGGTAATAACTAGTACTAACCCTGAACCTAACCCTGTTCCATGTACTTACCTTATATTAGCCAGTACTTTTTAGGTAAGTACACTGTAAGTATACTGTAAGTACTGTAGTGTAAAAGGAAGCGTTACCAAATATACAACAGGAATATAAACCACAGTTAATAAATAGATATCAGTGTTTATCAAATTATTAAGAAAATTGGAATTGATAACAATTAGGCTATTTGAATAGCCTGATCAATTACTAGTAAAACTGGAATAATAGCCAGTAACAACTGGAATACATGAACTGGGTAGTTGAAATCTTTAACACAGATAAATTAGCCTATATGGCAATATATGTTAGTTAGGCTACTATTAACAGTAACTACAATGAAAAGTACTAGAGACATAAAAAAGATACTATATACTAAGTTCACAATAAATATTTGTTTAAACGGCTTGCCATGAGCATTTAGAGTAATAAATGTGACAGCGCACAACTGAAGACTAGCGCGCTTTAAAAACTATTATCATTCACTGTTTGACTGGAGTGATCGCGACTGTAGTTTCATGAATTAGGCTATTAGTCACACCTTAATTGCTCTAACACTGATTATTTTATTAAGATGATAAGATCATAGATATGAACTAATAATAAAGATGACATTCTTGATCATCATCATTATATGAACTCTAGTAGCTTGCTTGCTCATTCCATTTAATTCCCATTATACCTGGCCGTGAAAATGAAGAAATGCTATTATTTTAAGAAGTCCCCCATAGACATAACGTAAACATGCAGCATAGTTTCGTTTTGTTTATCACTTCAGTGCAGAAACTGGTAGATGTCTGTACCTCTGCATGACATTAGCGTTAAGATAATAGAAACCATATTTCCCTTGAGTCAAACTCACCTAGAGACAAGAATGGTTTGGTTTCCATATTAGCGCATGCCAGCTTTCTTTCTTGTAGATAGTGATTTATTTTCCCAGTGGGCAAGCTATAAGATCCAGTCGGAAACGCCGTCAGACCAAAGCCAGAGATCCGCTGTCAAAATCCACTTAATATAACTAAAGTATCTACTTCAATCGCTCCATCCAGTTTGTAACTCCGCGAGAGCGCTCGCTCACTCACTCCCAGTATTCCTTCAGCGATCAAGCACTGCCTCACTATAGGGACCCTACTAGGGGGGACTCTGATCAGCTGCCCTTTTGCAGCGACAAGCCACTTTTACTTTTTTCAATGTGGTCCTGTTGCCAATGCCAAACCCCCCTTCGAACTATAAAATAAATGACAATAAAACAATACGTAGACCTATTCTATTTAGCAATATTTAGACCATTTCACAAGATGTAAACAACACTGGTCCAGAAACACTTCCTGTTTCAGTTTGTAACTGTTTTCTTTATTTCACATGTAAAGAAAATATCTTAAAGATGTTTGTTTAACTTTTTGATTCAGTTTTAAATGTTCTGTTGGTTGTATTTTATCCCAGCTTTTATGTAGTGTTAAAAAACTGAAACAGGAAGTGCTTCTGGACCAGTGTTGTTTACATCTTGTGAAATGGTCTATATAAACGAAAACAAACATTTAATTGGTTTATGTATATATATATATATATAATTTTTTCTCTCTTTCAACCTCAGGGTTGTGTATCTATAGAAAAACTTAATGTGCCACTGTGTGTGTCATCACACTGGTGTTTTACTCTTTAGGGAATTCATCATTAATTAATGTACATGGCACATTAAAGATCAAAACCATCATCAGCATGATGAAACAAGTATTTAAATGAATGTGGCTTTACTCAATGCCAATGGGAATTCATGCGATGTGGAGATATTTTAATAGTTTCGTCATTTTAATAAATATCATGGCATGGTATATTAAAACCTGACATAAAAAGCATATATAAAGAGAAATAGAGTAGATGTAAAATGATGGTATCTTATTGTAGTAGAGAGACAGTATTTTATTACAACAAGAGCTGCAATAAAAACAAAATGCATCCACATAAACGTCTTTCTATGTGCAACCACATAATTTTATCTTTGTTAAACTCTTTCCTCCGGTTTCACAGACAATGATTGAGATAGTTCCAGACTATAATGCATATTTGAGCTGTTTTAACCAAATGTAACTTGCACTGACTTATCTTAAATATATCAGTGTCATTGTTTTGTCTCAAGATGCACTAATGCCTTTTTTTCTAATGAGTGTTAATAAAAGCTATTTAAATACACTAATTGAACTAAGGCCTAATCCTGGTTTAATCTAAGCCCTGTCTGTGAAACTGGGCCTTTTCACTTAGTACAGAGTACTGGGATCTTGGAAATGTTGCTAATACTCATGTAATCTCTTCAAGAAGGTCAATGTCATGAGCTCTCCTTTTCCACACAAGTCTTAACACTGAGAACAATATATTGCACATCACATGGGTTTTGATAGTTTGGGGTTCATATTAGCTGTGTCATCAGATTAGATGTTTGTTTAAAAGGCCATTTACAGCCTTGAATTTTCTGTCCTATTGGTCTGCATTATACTGTACTAATTCAGTGCAAACTTGACACCTCTCCAATAATGCTTGTCTGAGCAAAGAAAATGCTGCCTCAGATCTAATTAAATGGTAAGTTTAGAGGTCAAAAAGCCTTTCAAAGCAAATGGCACAGTTCAACATCTGAGTTCTATACTGCAACTCATAGCTGTAAAAACGGATGAGGAGAGAGTCATAGGTTACAATAACAGCTGGTGAGATTGGGAGAGCATACTCACTTTTCAAATAGCATACTTCTCTGAGGAGACCAAAGGCTTTCCAAGAAAGATTGCATTATTCCTAGTTCTATAGAGAGAATGTATCATCCAAATGTGATTCATTTCAAATATGATGTACCTTTTTTCACTGATATCTACATTTCATCTATAAAATATAGTACAAAATATAAGGACCTGTTCAGTTGTAGAATGCAGTCCAAACAAATTCAGTTTCCTTTCATATACGTTGAATATGTATTTAAATAATTGCCTTAAACAATTGTTATCTCCTCTTTAATGTAAACATTATTTTACTGCAAGAATTTTTCATATTACGTCATGCCATATATTTTTAGGCTTTAAATATTGATAGGAAATGTCAGTCTGAGTCAGGATGGAAGCAGTGTTTTCGTATTCTTGTGTAGATGACAGACAGTAGAAGTGAGTTTGATCAGTGAAGGTCTTGGTTCACATTCCTCACTATCGCTCAAGAGCTCTAAAGACTGTCCTGTGAACTTCAACATTGTGCAGGAACATTTTTAAAAGTAGTCTCTTCTGCTTACAGGGCTGCATTTATTTGATTAAAATAGTATATTCAATACATATTTGAAGTATTATCATATATATATATATATATATATATTTTTTTTTTATATGTTTTCAAATTTCTTCTTGTGATGTAATGCTGAATCTTCAGCATCATAGTCTTTCATGTTGAAAACAGTTGTGTACATTTTTTTTTTGTTTCAGGATTCTTTGATTAATAGAAAATTCAAAAGAATAGCATTTATTTGAAATATAATCTTAGTAACATTATAAATGTCTTTTCTGTCACTTTCAATCAATTTACAATTCAAATCAAAATTACAGATACATTTTATGATCGATAAAAGTTGCTGAATAAAAGTCTTCATTTCATTAATGTCTTTCCAAGGTATATGTTACAAAAGTTTTCTATTTCAGAAAAATGCTGTTCTTTTGAACGTTCTATTCGTCAAAGAATCCTGAAAGAAATTGTACACAACTGTAATAATAAATGTTTCTTCAGCAGCAAATCACCAGAATGATTTCTGAAGGATCATGTGACACTGATTCTGCTGGAATTTTCAGCAAAATCAGTGTCACGTGATCCTTCAGAAATCATTCTAATATGCTTTGATCACAGGAATAAAATACACTTTTAAAATATTTTCAAACAAATAAATGCAGCCTTGGTCAGCAGAAGAGACTTATTTTAAAAACATTCAAACTTTTGAACTGAAGTGTATATCGTAATTCAGAACTGTTGTTACGGAATTTATTTATATACAGCCAAACCAATATATATGGATAAAATAGTTAGCTAGCCTCTTTATCACTTGGCTGTTACAGGTTTTGTAATTACTCTGTCAGATACCATCTGTACTACTCTCAGGAACTGTTTTCCTTCAGAGATTTACTAACAGTGATGGTTGAACTGAAATGAGAACAGCACAACCCTCAGAACAGGAGCAACTCCATCAAACTGTGGTATTGCAGGGGTTAGTGATAGGATCCAGAATCATTGTGCAGTGTGACTTTCTCAGGGAGACAAATTGAGATGTGTCTCTCTGACTGATCCCTTAAGGATCAACGCCAAGTGCAGAGGCTCAGTGGCAGGAGTGATTTAGTGCGTCTCACTCTCTCTGCTGGTCAGCCACTGTGGAGGAAAGAGAGGGGCAATCAGCCTCGTCATAAATCTCTACACTTCCTCCCACCATCACCAGTTCAAGAGAAATACCCCCAACCCCCTCGTACACAGCCCATTAAATCTGTTTGCCCCCGGACACACACACACACACACACACACACACAGACGGTCCAACATATCATCAAGTAATCAGTCATTTCAGGTCTGTTAAGTGTATCCATCATGAGAGTTCTGGAAAAAAAGTGTCATGAACTAAATGTAAAAATGTTTGGACTGGTGAATGTATGGAAGAATTATAGACTCGCCTGCAATTAAAGGAATGGCTCATGGAAAATTAAACATTCTGTAATCATGTAACCCATATGTTATTTTTTCCATGGAATGCAAACATATTTAATATAAAACGCACACTACCACTGAAAATATGAAGAGTTCAGATGCAAAAGCCTCTAAATGCCATTTGAAATTTTCTTCTTGAATGATGATTTTTATCAAACTTGTATATTTAAGTTCAGTAATTTCACTTAAATAACAATTAATAGGTAATTATCATCGCCATTTAAGTGAAATTACTGAACTTAAATATACAAGTTTGATAAAAATCATCATTAAAGAAGAAAATTTCAAATGGCTTATAGAGGCTTTTGCATCTGAACTCTTCATATCTTTTTTTATTTTTAAAAAGTAATATTGTTAAATAAAGTGTAAAAATAAACTACGCTCTAAAAAATGCTGGGATGTTTCAACCCAAATATGGAGAAACTCAAATGTTGGGTTAAAAATGCTATTAAAAATCATGCAACCCATATGATGTTAGTTTTTCCATATTTAGATATATCGAAATCCTCTTCCATTGCGATTTCCGGTATATCTAAATATGTTTAGTGAAAAGTAAAAACTTCAGAAATCTCCGTGTAAACAATGAGTGACATAGATCAAGATCGAGAGATCACTTCCGGAGTACGTTGGATGCGGTTCGGTTCGGTTCAGTTGGACATCTGATTCAGATCAGTTCGACGGCTGGTAACAAGAGGTAAAAACTATATAAATACTGTTTGTTTTCTCACAAACCGCTCGTTTCGTGTCTTAGGCCATCAGTGTGTACTTACATTCACAAGTCATTAAATCATGTTTAATTTTGACTTCTCTGTGCATGCTCTTTGAGGTGGACCCCCTAAACCTGCATTATATGACTGACAGACAACACCGGTTTGACCGAAAAATTTCAAAATTGAAAATACTGTGGAAACAAAGACACCTACATCTTGGATGCCCTTGAAGCTAAAACATATCAAAAAATCATTTCAAAGTGAACTATCCCTTTAAGCTTTGGCCTTCAAAGTTATGGTTGACAATCTCTCCATCAGATTATAATCAGAACTTTTTTTTCTTTATTCTTGCAATGTTATACGATTCGTGTTTTATGCAAAATCCACATCCAAAATTTACAAGCGGTGAATATATTCCAGCAGAGCAAAACAAAACATGAAACGAAAATACATAAACTGAAATACATTGTTCAAAGCAGTGAGGCCCAGTTCCGCTGTATGAGCTTCAGTATGAGTCGAAGGATTTACTGCTGTGAATAATTAGTAAGTGAAGTGTGGCTGACTTCTCCATCGCCCTAGATACTTGGCACACTCTCTCCCTGTTTGCATCTCCACCAGTGTATCCAGATGGTCAACTCACCATGAACTCCCTGGGCTAGTTGCACCATGCA